GTGAGAGAGAAATGGCGACGCAGAATCGGTAAGCATCTTCCTCTCTCTCACTCTCGCTCTCCCACTCTGCTTCTGCTTCTGTTTCTGCAACTGCTTCTCCTTGCCTTGCTTGGTCTTGCTTGGTCTTGCTTGGTTTCTCCGGCTTCCTTCTTCGTCATTGTCGTCCATCTTCGCCATCCCATCGATACGTCCGTCCTCCCTCGTCTCTCTTGATCCTCGTGGTCTAGCCCTGCATTGTATGTACTATCTGTTACTTGCTTCCTTGGTTCAGCCTGCCTTTTCCTGCCTAATGCGTCTTGTCTGCACCGCACACGCATATTCCCCATCCGTCCCATCCCAACTCACTCATCCCCCTCCTCCACCCTCCACTACTGCAGTCTGCACCCGCAGTTTAGGCCCTCTGCAAGGCAATTCGTAGCAAGCGGCGGCTGCGGCAAGCGGTAGAAGGAAGCAGAAGCTGCGCGAGCAGTACCAGCAAGTTGCCCTGCAGCAACAATACCTACCTTCTTCCTCACCTTAGCAGCGTAAGCATACAAGCACGAGCACAAGCAATTCAAGTGTGTTGTTCCCTTGCGTGTACGGATAAATGTACGGTGTGTGCGTGTAAGGTACTCTGTACGTGCATGTGCATCAATCAGCCAACACACACACACACACACACACACATACACACACTCATTGCGCAGCGCTCTCCTCTGTCCCCAGCGCTGCGACTCGACTCCTTCAGCGAGGCTAGAAGTGGGGTTCATTTCGTCTCGATCTGTCATGGCGCACCTCACCGATTGTCAACCACCAACAGCCTCCTAATTGCGCTGTCCTTCCCATTCCACATCTCATTCTCCTCTTCTATCCCGTCCACTGCCTTGTTTCCCGGCAAAAAAAAAACCCCCTTTTCCCCGATCAGCATCATCTTCATTCAACCGACGACGCCCCTTCTGCTGCTCTTCGTCGCTGTTTGATCGTCGCCACCACCACCACCACCACCACCTCGACTTCCTCTTATTTCATTCCCACTTCTTCGTCGCATGCAGACCTCGCCGCCCGCCGCCGTCGCCCACGCTGCGCAGCAATCATGGCTAACGAACGCAGTGTGTACTCGTCCGGCCAGTTCATGAACCCAGGCCCGGCGCCACGACCACCAACCGATCGACCTCGTCTCGCCCTCACCCCAAGCAATACCCTGCCCGGCAGCATGGCCAACATGGCTATTTCTCCTATCCGGAGCACGGCGACTTCGACCTACACTGGCTCCACAATCTCCCTCCCCATCGCCCGCCAACAGAGCAATCAGAACGATGGCATGGGAGGCGTCGCTGTCAAGAAGGAGGGCTGGGCTTCCGTGAAGGAGTCCAAGAACTTTATCAACCCGTGGAAGCAGAAATACCTCATCCTGCGAAAAGAGTCGCTCGACTTCCACAAGACTGAGGGTGGCAAGGTCGCGTATACCCTCTTCCTGAAAGACGTGGTCAACGTTGGCCGAGTCGAGGCCGCTGGCACTATTTTCGAGATTAAGAGAAACCCTAGCGGCTCGTCAAACAGCCCCGGCGAGGACGATGGCCAGACCAAGACGTTGCAAATTCGTGTCAAGAGTGACGACGACTTGTACGAATGGATTGATCTTATTTACGGCGCATGCCCTGGAATGGGCGGTGTCAGCAACCCCACCAACTTCTCCCATGCAGTCCACGTTGGTTTCGACCCCCAGACTGGCGAGTTTGTCGGCTTGCCACCCGAATGGTCGAAGCTCCTCAACTCATCCGCTATCACAAAGGAGGATTACGAGCGCAACCCCCAAGCTGTCTTTGAGGTCCTCGACTTCTACTCCGATCTGACCAAGCGCGCCGAGAATCCCCAACAGTACTCCAGCCTCACTCCTACACCTCCCGCCAGCAGCCAGCAGAACAAGCAACTTGGTTATGGCGGCGGCGGTGCAGGAGTCGCGCCGCCTAGGCCCATGCCGCCTTCTCAGGCCCAGCGTCAACCCAGCTACAACACTCAACCGTCGTCGCAAGGCCAACAGCGCCGGCCTTCGCCCACAGAACAGCAGCAGCAGCGCCAGCAAATGCAGGGTATGGCTCCCAACTATCAGCCAGATCCTCGCGAGGAGCAGCGCATGAAGCAGCTGGAGGCCCAGCGTGCCCGGGAAAGGGAGATCGAGGAGCAGAACCGGCGGGACCTGGAAGTATTCAACGCTTCCATCCCCAAGACCAAAACGCCCATGGCTCAACAAGAGATTGGCGGCTACGGCGGCAGCTCTTCCATCCCACAAACAGACAGATACAATCCTTCGAGGGCAGCTCCTCCAGCACCCAAGCCGTCGCAGCAGCAACAGGTCAACGGCCTGCGCGCGCAGCGCCCGGCACCATCGCCACCCACCACTGCGGGCACGCCGAACCGTCCCCCGATGGCTTCGCAACAAAGCTCGAGTTCCATGCGGGATCCCAACCAAGGCCAGCGCCCCCGGCAAGACCAGCCTTCAAGCCAGCAGCAACGGTATCCCAACGGCAGCCCCCAGCAGCAGAGGCAACCCCCTCAGGCTCAGGCTCCGCCACCGTCTCGCCTGCCCGCTCCTGTCAAGCCTTTGAACGTGTCCAAGGCTCAGCCCGCTGCCCCTCAAAGCGATGGCGTCAAGGCCGCCGAGGCAGCTCTCACTGCCAAGCCACCTGCGCAAGAACGCAAGCAGGATGTGCGCATGTCCACCATGTCCGAAACCGAGGTTATGGCCAAGCTCAAGGAGGCCGTATCCAAGGACGACCCCAACCTTTCCTACTCCAAGCAAAAGAAGATTGGACAGGGTGCTTCGGGTTCAGTCTACGTTGCCAAGGTTAAGGAAACCGCAGTTTCGCCTATTGCCCGTGATGTCCTGCGTGCTCAGGGCATCAAGGCTCAAGTTGCCATCAAGCAGATGGACCTTGCTCACCAGCCCAGGAAAGAGCTGATTGTGAACGAGATCATGGTCATGAAGGACAGCAGGCATCGCAACATTGTCAACTTCTTGGACGCCTTCCTGCGAAACAACAACGCTGAGCTCTGGGTCGTCATGGAGTACATGGAGGGTGGCGCTCTGACGGATGTAATTGATAACAACCCCAGCATCACCGAGGAGCAGATTTCCACAATTTGCTTGGAGGTAAGAGACTGACTGATCTGTGGAACTCGCGCGTCAATACTAACACGATCTAGACATGCCGTGGTCTGCAACACCTCCACTCCCAAAACATCATTCACCGCGATATCAAGAGTGACAACGTTCTTCTGGACGCTCGTGGCAATGTCAAGATTAGTAAGTGAATCGCAATTCCCGTTATCGCGCAGCTACTAACCAAGTGTATAGCCGATTTCGGTTTCTGCGCCAAGCTCACTGAGACCAAGTCGAAGCGTGCGACCATGGTCGGAACGCCCTACTGGATGGCTCCTGAGGTTGTCAAGCAGAAGGAGTACGGCCCCAAGGTTGATATCTGGTCTCTGGGTATCATGGCTATTGAGATGATTGAATCTGAGCCGCCCTACCTGAACGAGGAGCCCCTCAAGGCTCTTTACCTGATCGCCACCAACGGCACCCCGCGCCTCAAGAAGCCCGAGAAGTTGAGCAAGGAGCTCAAGGCTTTCCTGTCGGTCTGCTTGTGCGTAGACGTCAAAAGCAGAGCCTCCGCCGACGAGCTTCTTCAGCACGACTTCCTCAAGCACGGATGCCCGCTGGGCAGCCTGTCTGAGCTTCTTGCCTTCAAGAAGCACGCCAAATAAGTTGGCAAGCACGGCACGAGCAGTGTAGTGCAGCGATCGGCGCTGAGAAGCGGATGCCACCGGCGATTAGTGGCGTTTATTTTGGAATCGGCGGCATCGTGCAACACTTCCCGACGTGCGCGAAAGCAAGCAAAGAGACATTACGTTCGACTTTTGAACGAATTCCTGATTCCTCATCAACCATTCACACGACGTACTCATGAAAACTTCCAATTTCAATCGACGCGGATATCCTTGACACACCTTTCTGACTTACGCGGGACGAGAAAATGCTTCGTTCATCCCATCATGGCGGCGGCATGGGAATCTTTTTGCTAATGGTCTCGGTCACATTGCATAGTTGTTTAGTCACCGTAGGGGAAGAATGGTAATTTAGAGGAAAGGTACAGCCCGCGACATCTCGGTGGCTCACATTGGGGAGAGACAATGGAAGAGATGAGGGGCCGAGGGAGACAAGCGTGTTGCCTGGGTCTCAACAGAAAGCATGAGTAGAACGCGAGCCAGACAGCGCTGATAGATAGTCTCAATGGAATGGATCAACGAACGTTACAGCTTTCGACGTGAAATCCGACAAACTCGAGCGCGCTATCGAGCCCAAGGCTTCTCTGTGAGGAGGGCATGCCAGGCCGTACCGGTACGAGAGCCCGGGTTACCCAAGAACAACCAGTAGTTCCATCATCTTTGCTTACTAGGTATGTACTAAGGTATCCAGAATGCAGACGGAGGCGTCCCTCTCTTTATAGCAGCAGAGAAGCCTTAAGGCCCGCACGGGGCCCAGCCAATCCCCGCTCTTCTTTACTTACGAAACCGCGGGCATACCTCAATAACGTTCTCGTATTCGGAACCCCGTAGCCCTTGCATCCGAGAAAAACGAGGCCGCCGCCAACCACGTCCCTCGAAACTGGTTTCCTCTTCCTTTCATGCCACCATTCTCTTGCAAAATCCGCGTCCCCGTTGTTCTCACCCCGAGCCAGTCTTTGCCGAATTTGCGCAGGCTTCGGGCGTACTCTTGCATTCCTATCGTGGTCCCGTCATCGCCGTGCGCACCCGCCGATCGCCGCACGCAAGTTTGCGGGTTGTAACGGCCCCTCCTTTTTTTTCCCCTCTGCTTCCCTACCACTCTGGGGCAGCGGCCTAAGCGTCCCAGGGAGCTGGCTGGCTTGGCTGGTTGGTTGGCTGCTGTACGTGAGTTGCGCGCCGCTGACCGAAGTCGAACTGGCTGGCCTGCCGCATAAACCGGCACGGTGTGGTAAATGATGGACAGCCCGATGGATGGGTCCGGCGGCTCGTCCTCGGCGCCGGGTTCGACGCCGACGGCTACGGCGACGACGCCTCACAGTGGTGTTGGGGTGACTGCTGCCGGTGGTACCACCACCACCAAGTCGCCTAGCGTTGCGATGCCGTTGGGAAGTATTTCGGCGGCGAGCAGCAGCATTGGTGGTTCTTCTACGACGAGTACGACGGTCTCGGCTTCGGGTGCTGGTGCTGGTGCTGGTGCTGGTGCTGGGAGGGGGAGCACGCCTGGTACTGGTGGTACTACAACTACTCCTGGTGCTGCCACGGCGAATACTGGCGCAACTGTTGTCTCGAGGCGGTCGCATCCCAAGTCGAGGACGGGGTGTAGGACGTGTAAGAATCGGAAGATTAAAGTGAGTTTTTTTGTATTTCATTCTTTGTGTTGCAAGTCGTTTGCTACGAAAGTGTTTTTTACTTGGGTGTTGGTGTTCTATGAAGTGTGGCATACACTCACCCCCCTTCCCTTTGTCATACACTCTCATTCATGCCACCATCACATCTCATTCTACGCCCTCCAGCCTCATGTATTATCAATTTCTTTCCCAGATCCTCTCACTCGGTTTACTTCCTGTTACACCAAAAACGACCCCAAGCACTGAGACAAGACTAATAAACAACTACCTCCACAGTGCGACGAACACAAACCTTCATGCAGAAACTGCATCAAACACGCCGTCCCCTGCGACTTTCTCCAGTCCCAACGGCACTCCTCCTCATCCGTCCCGCGCTCGCCGGGCAGCATCCCGACCCCGGGAGGGCCCGTCAACGGCGACGCCATCGGGGGCGGGGCCGGTGTTGGTCTCAGCCTCGGCAATGGCGGAGGCATCGACGACCTCTCCCTCAACCTCATCGACCTGGAACTCATGCACAACTTCACCACGTTCGCCTTCAACACGCTCTCGACGGACCCCGTGGTGCGGCAGATGTGGAAGGTACCCGTCGTCCGGCTGGCGCTCGAGTGCGACTACGTCATGCGCGCGCTGCTGAGCGTGTCGGCGCTGCACCTCGCGCACAACAGACCCGAGAGGCGGGATTTCTTTATTAGTCGGGCCCTGACATATCACCAGATGGCGAGCCGGACGGCCATGGGTTTGATGGGTGCGCTGGACGGGGAGAATTGTGAAAAGTTATATCTGTTTTCGGTCTTGACCATCTTTTTTGGTATGTTTTTTGTCACTCACCCCCTTTTTACCCCCTTTTTTTCACAAATCTACAGAAATCAGGACTAACGCCCCCCCCAAAAGCCCTCGCCTGCCCACGCAAATCCTCAGACTCCCTCATCATGGGCGAATCCTCCTTCCCAGACTGGCTCTTCCTCCTCCGAGGCACCCGCTCCCTCCTCAAAGAACTCGACCCGCACACCTACGCGGGCCCGCTAACACCAATGTTCAACCACGGCCGCGAGCGCTACATGCACACCCGCGATGATTCAAAGATCCAATCGGACCTCCTCGCGGACCTCCAGCGCCTCGTCAACAAAACTTGCGCCGACGCCGCGCTCTTGCCAATCTACAACCGCGCCATTGACGAGCTGCGGCGGACGCTGAGCGTGTTTTTGTGGGACGGGGGTAGAGGGATGGATATCACGGATGCCTTTGTGTGGAAGTATCTCATGGCGGAGGATTTCTTGCCGCTGTTGAAGAGTCCCGGGCACACGCAGGAGGCTGTGGCGATTTTTTCGCATTTTTGTATATTGCTCAAGAGGTTGGAGAATGAGTGGTGGCTTCAGGGGTGGGCCACGCATTTGATTTCGAGGGCGTGGGCTGTGCTTGATCAGGATCATCGGCTTTGGATTCAGTGGCCTATTGAGGAGCTTGGGTGGGTGCCGCCTTGATAATATGGCGTGGATGTTGGGGGGGTTGTATAGGATGGGTGAGGCTTTTTTTTTTTCTTTGACACGATGGCGTACGATATCACGTTTGGCTGAGCGATGCGAGGTCACTTTGGTACATGAATAATGTATTTGTTGTCGAAGCTATCTACTAAAGAAGGTACTTGGGGATGTTCAGAGTCCTTGCCGAGGTATTACGTCTGATGGCAGCATCATCTGAACTCAGCAAAAGTAAGGTGATGTGGGATGGATTTGGTCCTTGTTCTCTCTCGAGAAGCTTCGACGCAATGTAAAATAAGCCAGGGCAGCGTCAATTTTGGTCGAACCAGCCCAATCAGTCTCCAGGAAGATCATAGGCCTTCGTTGGTCATTTTCATCGCTCGATGTGAGGCTGGAGAAACGAGTTGTGATGAGGCCGCTCACAATCCTTGATAGTTTCGAAATCTAGTCTGACCAAGGCTTGATTCACCGTCCCTCTCATAGCGCACTGGGTAGTCGGTATTGAATATACCACGGCTAGAGTCCAGCGTCTTTAGAAAGTGACGTTCTGATTTGATGCAATTACCGAGCCCATTCTTGGATTTCCCGAACCAAAGCGATGGGAATCCTGGAGTAAGGCAACGTCTGTACCATGCGACGCCCGGGTTCCAGCTGGGCTAGAAGATTCGAAAAAAGGGCGCGGGCATCGGCTTTATAGACGTTTCTTCATGACAGTCTTCTGCTTCCTCGCAAGCTTCAGATCCATGCAGAAAAAGCTTTTGAGATGTCTCCTCGGGGCTGTCATCGGTCTATGTACAAGGCTCGGCTGTCTTCACTCCAAACCTCTGACTCAAAACCACCCAAGCACCCACAACGACCAACTTCCTAAATGCTCTCGCGTCGCCGTCATCACCAAAAGCAGTATCGAGACATCGAGAAATGACCCCAAAATCGACGAAACCGAGGTGTTCAACCGCCTCTTTCGTTAGCAAACCCCGAAACATCAGGTGTATCTGCCCATCAATAGGCCATTTCCACGGGGAGGAGTACGGGTGCTTCTTGCGGTTGTAGATCTCGTCCGTAACAAACGGACGTCCTGCCTCCCGCAAGACCTTCTTATCAATAATGCGGTCTCGAACGGCAGCCATGTTCTCCCAAAAGAAGCTCTGAGGCGCAGCTTTCTTTTTCTCGCCATTATCGGTTCCTATGAAATTCTCGGGGTTATAGCTCATCTTGACGCTCGGCGGAAGTCCATTGACGTACTGCACCAGCTCGTGGTCCAGAAACGGGAGGCGCGCCTCGATGCTATGCGCCATCTCCGACCTGTCGCCCAGACAAGTCAAGACCATGTTCGCCATAGAGGTCTTGAGGAAGACGTACAGCGCCGAGTGGAGACTGTGCCAGCGCGTTCGAATCTTCTCCTGGGCGTCTGGAGGGATGGAGTTGAGCATCGCTTCGTAGACGCCGAGTGCGCTCTGTTTGTCCCTCACCCATGGCACGAACACTTCCGATGAGGGACATCCTCGCCACTGGATTAGAAAGACATCCAAGCCCGCTAGAGGGTCGAATTCGGTGCTTTCTTCTGTTCTGGAATGATCAAACATGCCCATCCCTTTATACATGCTCCGCAACTGCGCTGCCGCGGATTTGTACAGTGCTTCGCGCAGCTCGGTATCCTTTGCCAGCTCCGTCGACGGTAAGGCATCGTCGGGTTCTCGAAGAAAATCAGAGACTAGGAAAGGGTATCCGGCAAAGTGCTCGTCTGCTCCCTCGCCCGTCAGCACTACGGGTATCCCCTGCTGGCGAGGTAGCTCGGAAAGCGCGTACTTTCCGACGCTGTTCATGTCGAAGTGGTGGTGCTCGATATGGTACACGGAATCGGCGAAATGCTTTGCTAGTTCTTCCTCGTCCATGACTTTCTTTACAATGTTTAAATCAAGCCATTCCGCGGTGCGTTCTGCAATGTCTTTCGAAAGTCGTCAACGTCATTTCGGACGTGGAAGCGCTCCGGAAACTCACCATATTCGTTGTATTGTGAATCAGATGTGAAGGAGATGCTAAAACAAGTGATCCTGTCTTTAATGTCCAGGTTCCCCAACTTCACTCCTCGTTCTCGTACGAGCTGTGTGGTTATGCCTGCTACAATGGATGAGTCGAGGCCGCCTGATAAGTAGATGCCGACTGGAACATCTGCTTGGAGGCGGAGACGGACGGCATCTACCAAACGCTCGCGGACTTCGTCGACCATCTCATCCATACTACGTGTCTCTTTGGCGGTCTGAGTCGCTTGTAAGCCTCTTAATCGCCGTTCGGCTTACATCTACCGGTGAGCTAACTTACCTTGTCAGCATACTCAGCGTCCCAGTACCGATGCTGCGTCGCGCTCCCATCTCGACCGAACCGCACCCAGTGCCCCGGCAACACCTTCTTCACTCCCTTGAACAGCGTACCTTCGCCCAGAACCGCCGCACCGCTGCAGATGGCTTCGACGTCCCACTCGGACTCCCACTCCATGGGCAGAAATGCTTTGATCTCCGAGGCGATCAACAACTTGGCCGGCATCTCACTGCTGTAGGTCCAGAAAAGAGGCTTGATACCGAACCGGTCCCTCGCAGCAATCACATCCCCCGATCGCTCATCGTACAAGATGAAGGCAAACTCGCCGCGTAAATGAGCAAAGAACCCAGGGGCTCCGTGGTGTTGGTACAGAGCCAGAATGACCTCGCTGTCGCTCCGTCCGGAAAAGTTGTAGTCGTATTCAGCGGTGCAGCGGCCGCGGATGGCGATGTGGTCGTAGATCTCGCCGTTTACTATGACGTGAATTTGCTCGTCTTCACTGTGCAAGGGTTGAAGGCCTGTTGGGGAGAGGTCTATGATTGACAGGCGGGCGTGACCGAGACCTTTGCACCTGTGTCAATGTTCGGCACATACCCCCACACGCTCATGTGAGCTGAGATGAAGCATACCGACGGTGGCGTCGTTGTTTATCCATGTTCCTTCTGCGTCTGGGCCTCGATGTTGAAGGAGAGATAGGCTTCGTGTTAGTTTGCTTTGCACATCGGCGCGTCGTTCCGACGAATCGTTTTGCGGACTGCCGGATTGGATGATGGCTGTTATGCCGCACATTCTTGAGATGAAGTTCTCCGCGATTGATTCGGATGGAGTTCTTTAGTTGTGTAAGTGAGTCAAGTACGATATGGACAGAGTACGTAAAAAGGAAGTGACCAGAAAGAGAAGACGAAGCATGTTCAGGAGTTCTCAGTCAATGCTTGAATGACGAGCTGAGTCTGACAGTAAGTATTCCTCTCAGGTCTACTCTGAACTTTCTTCATCGGAGTGACGTTGAGTTGCATCCTCGCCGTTGGGATTCAAGGTTTCGTATAGAAGGATCAAAGTTTCGGCAGCCGGGTTCGGGATAACAAGTAATACATTGTCTGTACCCTATTGTACGCTAACCATTCAGTTGCGTTGTCTGAAACTCGCGACTCCATGCCTCTCCAAGAATTCGATTCTCCGCGGAAACCATGGAGAGAGGTATGAGGCGCACAGGTCGGGACAGCCTGCGTTAACCGCGAAAGTTCCGTATTGTTACTTGATGAGTGACCCTCAGACATGTTTCTTACCTTGTGTTGCAAATAGGAATAAGCTAAGGCACAATAGAGAGCCTTCCCGGGAGGAAATTGCCAGCAAGCCGTGGTTAAAAATCACCCAAAGTATGATTCAAAACTCAAAACCCACTTCAAACTATCAAACTGTGACTGCCTTCAGCACGCCAAGAATCTGAACCATTACTGAGGAACTCGAGTCAATTGCTTAGGGTGGTCTCTGTCCGAGCCTTTAGCAAAAACCTACGTAATCTCGGTGATAAGTGTGCATCTATTTGTGAACCAACTATTTGGCAGAACTCGCTGGCATAGGTCCGTATACAATACGCAGTGGCTGCGCTCTCATAGCACTTCCCACGAACCGATCAATGCTCCAACTTTGAGCCTCAGTATCGCGGATTGATACAAAGGCTTGATGCTTGCTCTTCTGAGCGGCTTCCCAGAGTTCCTTCATCGTGTGCTCCCCTTGGTGAAAGCGCCGTACATCGAAGAAGTTATTGACAAGCTGTTGTAGCCGTACGCGCATAAATCCTCTGTATCTCTCGGGCGACTCTGATGGCCGTGGCTCATCGATCATGGTAGTTAACTCGTCCGCATCGTGGTAGTCGGGGTCAATAGCCCAAACCCACATGTCGTCGACGAGCCCCTGCGCACCAACTACCGATTCGACGCATGGCTTGTCTTCCATCAAAAATACGTTTTGCAGAATGCCGCCTTCTAGGACACGGGTTTCTGAATGCACAGGTGCGCTAGAGACAACGTCTTCCTGTGTTTGACTCCCCAAGCTGCTGTCTCGGATAAACTTGAACCTTTTACGCAACACGAGAAACTTGGCGAGTCTCTCATCGGTCTCTCCTTCATCTCTCTTGGCCTCATCCACAGTCAGTTCACTGATAATCTTCTTCTCCTCGCCTCGGTCAACAGCTTGTCTGGCGTCCATTTCCTTGCCGCCATCTGCAGCATTACTGCTGGGCCACTCAAGCTTCTGCAATCTCCACTTGTTGTTGATGGCACTGCTTCCCGCCCCAATCGCGCCACGGCCGTGGAACAGAACACCGTCCCTCCGAGCCATATAATTGTCGGCTTCTTCGTCGTTGGCGAACGCCTTTGGGTCGATGAAGATGCCATACCCCCAGACCTTCTCCCCCTTGTCCTCCTCCCACAGACGCCTCACCCATGGATGCGCCTTGGACAAGACATTTTCAGTCTCCTGCTTCTGCCTCGCGCGCCACGATTCGTTCTCGCGTCGCCAGTGCTCTGTGATAGCATTGTCGATGGGTTTCTCTTCGTTGTCTGCATAGAGCATGTGACGTACTGCCCTGAGACGCTTCTCGGCTTGTTCATAATCCTCTTCTGAGACCCTATTAGGTCCCATGATCAGCCCAGTTTCCAGTGAAACTTCACGTTCCTCGTCTGGCGAGATATCAAGCCAGTAGCGGTTCTTGAGGAGGGAGATCTCTGCGGCGGCCAGCTGCGAGGGAGACTCAACAGCACGCTCAAGGAGACTCTCTTTGGAGAGCTCAGTCGATTTGACAATGTTCGCCGCTTGAATTTCGGCATTCGGAAAGTCGAGAAAACGATATTGATCATGGAGAGCAAGTGACGGCGAGGTTGCGTTTTGGGAGATGGCCGATTTTTCCCATGCTTGCAAAGACCGGATCAGCCCGTCGGCGTCGTCAATTTTGCGAATGACCCGCATGAATGACCTGATGAGATTTTCCATGTTTTACGAAGGCAAAAACAGCATTGAGAAGTGGTTTGATAACAGAAGCTATAGTTTCCTGGCGTTTGAGTAGTGGCCAAACCAGTTGTTGTTGGTTGAGGTACATCTACCTGATGGTGGAACAATGGGTTAACGGGCAACTTCCAAGGTGCTTAAACCCGTATATTACCGCGCTCGACTAACGATTCTCGTCTGTACCCCTAATTTGAATGACTGCAAACTAAATTTAACATCTGGTTCTTGACATGAACTGTGTCACGTTCTTATGTAATTGAAAGGCAAGTGCATGGATTGATCAATGGTATGATATTTGTTCATGGAAGATATAGATACATGATATATGCTGGCTAATATTGTACAAAGAAACGTCTCAACTCTGAGCCATCGTAGGCCACCGCATTTAGCAGTTGGTCTGGATGCCCTGAGAGTACATGGCAAAGGAATCGGCATTGTTCAACGCCTGGGAGGTGCTGAGGGAGTCGACGCAGCCCTCGTAGCCGTAGCAGACATCGTCGGTTCCGGCAACCTCGGTCAAGTGGGTGGACTCGTGAACCAGGACGTACGGCTGGTCGGTGGCGCGGCACGAGGTGGTGGAGGCGGGGAACTGGAAGAAGTAGTCGCAGACGACAATGTAGCCGCCGCTGCCGGGCTGGGCGTAGGCGACGACGCCGTCGCTGCAGAAGTTGCCGACGTCGGTGCAGTAGAGGCCAGCGCCGCTCGACGTGCTGCCGAGGAGGGTGGCGGCCTTGCCAAAGACGCCGGCGACGGTGGACTTTGTGCTCGACGAGGTCGACTTGAAGTACTGCTGCAGGCGGGTGCCAGCGTTGGCGGCCGTCTGGGCGTTGGTCACGTACGTCTTGGCCTTGGAGAGGGCGGCGGTGACGGCCGTCTTCTTGGTGCCGGTGCAGTCGGACTGGATGGTGACGCGCTTGGCGTTCAGGGACTCGTGGAAGGCGGCGTGGACCGAGGCGGCCTGGGTGCCGTCGACGGTGGCCTGGAGGATGCCCGAGTCGAAGACGACCTGGCCGGCGATCTTGTTGCTGCCCTCCTCGGCGTAGCGGAGGGATCCCGTGCTGGAGATGTTGAAATCGCCACCGCTGCTCAGGTCGTGGACTTGGGCGGCGTCCCACTGGACCTTGACGACCTCGCCGGCCTCGATGGTCTGGAAGGCAGAGTCGGGGAGATCGGCATCGTGAACGTAGACTCGCACGCCAGTGAAGGCAACCTTGCTGACTGTTTATAGTGTTACATATTGTTTACTTGTGTAATGTTTTGGGCAGTAGTCTAGACTTACCACCAGTGCCATCGACCGAGCTCGTCGAGAACTGGGCCTTCTCAACGGGCGATCCATCGAGGATCGAGCCCGCCTTAAGAACACGAAGGGGCGTGCTTCCGGTGTTGGTGATGCTAGCCTTCAGCTCGCTGTTGCCAACCTGCTCGATTTTCACATCGAGGGGCTCCGCACGTCTGCTCAGGTTGACGGCAGCGCCGTTGGCAAGGGCGGCGAGGCAAGAAACGACAGTGGCGGCCTTCATGGTGGCTAAGGTAAGTGGTGAGAATTTAAAGAAAGTATAGGACGTAGCCGTTGGAAGTTGCTGGATTCTTCTGACAAGAGACAATGGTGAACAGCGAGAGAGGAAGGCTTTATGGCTCCTCCGTAAGTCCTGAGAGGGAAGCCCCCTGATCTAAAGGTAACCCTTCTCGGGACCTCAAACGAACAGTAGATTGCATCACGGAGAAGAAACTTCAAGGACACGGGTGTATGGCCGGGGGAACGTTCCACCACGGAGAATTGTCCCAGTGGTTCGGGATGCGGGTGCGAAGTTGGAAGGATGGAAATTATCCGATCATGTCCAAAATAGAGACGAACAGGAAAGCTGACACCCAAGGCTTCCACCAACCCAAGCGCGCAGCCGCGGATAGAGGTGGGTGTGTCCGGCGGGGTCATCTCGTAACAGATCTACACAGACTACTATAACTGAAGCTATCCCCAGCTGCTTCGTTGTACGAATGGGAACCATGGTTATGATGGTTTAGAAGCGGCTCCCACTCCTTTAGTGAGCTTAATATGAGCCTTAAAAGGTCGTTATGGAGAAGGAGGTGCCGGGTTCGGAGTTTAAAGTAAATAGAGTAGTGGGCCATGTCGACTCTGATTAGCTGTTTATTTTCACTACCGACAGCCGTACACCAAAACGTGGCCTTGGCAAGGTCTTGGCTGCGTGCCGTTTTGATTTAAACAACAGTGGCGCTGCTTTGATTCAGACTCGCTCAGGGCAACTTTTAATCTCGGCAGCGACAACCTCATACGCGCGTGTACGTAACAAACGTTTGCCCCGCATTCATGCTCGGTCTAGCCCCAATATCCTACAAACGTCCGTTCCCTCATCATTCTCATCGGTTCTGCGACCTGCCTAAAGGAGCATCAAAGCCGTTGACGATCCAATCAGGCATTCTCCATTTGCCTCCTCTTCCTTGCGTGACTGCGTAGTAGTGGACTCTGAGAGACTTTGTCAGGAGACTGTCGTGGCACAACATCGTCATCGTTCTCATTCTTTCTCTCAACTCTCTTGGCCCCCTGAACTCATCATCACCTCTCCAACAACCCAAACACATAGACATTGCCTCCATCACCATCAACTCATTGAATTTCGAGACTGTCGTGTCTGAAGAAACCTCTTTCAACTCTACGTCGCTTCTTCTCACTCTTCAACCACCCCTAGTCAAAAACGAGTCATCATACATGAGCTCTCATCACCGTAGCCGAGGGCCTCTTTCATTCCCGGCCGCCCTAGCAATCGGCGCCGTCATCGTACTCACATTCTACTTTTACTCACCACTGCAATCCTTCACCATGACTTCTGACTCCTCCTCGTCCTTTCTCAACAATCTTGAGGTGAGCCTGTCTCAATCCGGCACATCGCCCCCAAAAGTCTCAGTGTCCGTCAAAAACATACACCCGGACACGCCCGTGACGCTCCTGAAATGGAACTCCCCGCTTGACCCCGCCGTTCTCGGTCTGGGCCAGGTGTCCATCCAGCCGGCCGGGGCCTCCGAGCCGATCGAGACCCATGCCATCATGATCAACCGCAAGATGCCGCCCGGCGCTGAGTCGCTCATTACATTGCGGCCCGGTGAGAGCGCGGATCAAGTTGTTGAGCTGCGCGAGCCAAGAGTGCCGGGAGATGTGTGGGAGGCAGGCAAGGCCAAGGTAGCGATGAAGGGAAGGTGGATGGCTGTCTGGCCTGGTATGACTACGGAGGAGGTGTTGCAGAGCCCCGAAAAGTTGACGTCCGTCGGTGCTGGTGCGGGATCATTGATAGGGGAGTGGGAGTCGGAGACTATTGAGGTTGGAAACTGAGCAGTTAGTTTGTTTATCTAAGATGTCATCTCGACATCTCGAATACACGACACTTTCCGGATGCTCTTCAACAGTATTTTGAAGTACTGCGCTCACACCAATTAAGGGTGCGAGCTAGAAATTTCAAAGAAATGAAGCAACTTGATTTACAGCAACTACGAGTCTTGATGGTTGCGCACTCTAATGTTCTTGACGTTGATCGGTGTGTAAGTGAAATGAAAAGTACTCAAGACACGACACGATGAATGAGCCTCGCGAGACGTATCGCTTCATCAAGACTCTTTTGTACCGGGATGTCCATCCCTACCCGGTTCGTTCTTACTAACCTGCTGGTCTGATAAGCGTTTTGTCACTTCTGCAACCTTTTTCTTGAGCGGCCGATGTAGACTCGTGGTGTCTGTCAGCCAGTTACGCTTCAAGTCTTGCTTCTTCGGCTTCGCTGATGTAACAAAAAGTTGGTATTGGCCTTGAGTGAGTCAGTAGTGAGAACGGTCAGGTGAGGCATCACGCAACTTACCCCAGGCAAGCCGACTCAAATCGATTGCGTTGTAAAGAAAAATCTGGATGAGGCGAGCAACGAGAAGTACAGGCAAAACCATGAATCCTACAACGACATGAATGTAGGTGGTCCAGTGGTTAGGCTCTGTGTCTCCCAAGATCCCACATGCCGTTGAGACCTTCTCAGAGGGCAGGTCAATGAATAGATATACTATCCAGAATCGAACGTGCCCCGAAAAGCTGGCCTTTTGGACGGTTGGTTGGCTTGAACTAGGGCCGCCAGGCTTTTTGTCTTTTCCAGACACCCCGCTAACCTTGGCCTCCTCATGTTCACGTCGTGTGGGTGACGTCTGCACCTCATTTCCACGCATCTCGTGTCTCAAGTTAAAAAGACTGCTGTTCATCTTCGCCTGCGAGTAGTTATTGATCGCCATAGACACTTTCTTCGCATTCGCCAGTGCCACAATTGTGAGGAAGAGGGCAATGACGGAGCAGACAATCATGGGCTTGAGGACATCGCCTGGTGGTGTTTCGCTCATGCTGAAGATGCTTGCTGCGAAGCCGAGCGGCAAGAAGATAACAGTCACGTACGTGAAGAGCCGGACGTTCTCTGCGTCGATCAGGGAGAGGTTGTCACGGCTCTGCTGCTGATTGCTGATCAGCTGCTCCTTCAGTGACCGAATACTGTTGCGGTAGTTGTGTAAATCTCGCGTGCGACGGCCCGTCGAACCTTGCATCTTTCCAATGAGGCCGCGGTATTTGCGCTCGTCGTTACGTGTCCATCGCGGCCGCTCCTGGCCTCTGTCTTTCTCTCGCGCCTCCCATTTCAGGACGGTCGACAGCACGTCTGCGAGCTCTTCTTCCACAGCCTGAAGTATTTGCTGACAGTTCTGCCACTGGGCGCTGGATGAAAAGTACTCGACGCTGCTCAGAGTCGAGAAGGAGATAGTTCCCCGGTTTTCCCCCAGCTCGTGTACGACCATATCGAGTATGTCTTTGGTGCTCTGGACAATCTCTTTTAGGATTCTGTCAAAAAGTTGTAACTCTAGCACTTTTCTTTGCTGCCAACCTTGTTCGCCCCATGGACCAGGCATCCACCCACTCGAGGTGTGTTCAACCATGTAACAAGTCCAGTATCGGTCAAAAAAGTCTCCTGAAAAACGAAACCCCATCGAGGATCGCATGAGCTTTTTATTGGCAACGCCTGGAATGTTTCTCCAGCTAGGCGCGGGGATTCCCGTCCTTGGCTCGTAACTCTCATCAACCAGTCGATGGAAGCTCAGATGGAGTTCACTGTCCCAGGTATTGAGTACCATCGTTGTTTCTTCGAGAAATTGTTTTTCGTAATGGTAGTGTCTGTCGAAGAAGAGCGAAATAGCTTGCCTCTCATCTGGTGGGCTGGTCATGTAGCAAATGAAAGCGTGCTCGTCTCTCGCTGTCGGCAGCCAAATCAACCTTTTCTTGGCTTCTTTGACCACACGAGGCCTTGACAAATATCCCCAGAGTGAGAGGCTGCCAGGTACATAACGGTAATCATCGCCGTCCGCCCTTTCCTGTTTGCTCAGATTCTTTTGCTTCCGGACATTCACCACCCAAGAATACTGGTCGATGTCGTCGTCGTCTGTGAAAACAGTTGATTTTGAATTTGGCAAAGCTTCATTGTTCTTTGGCTCTGAAAGTCTTTGCATGTACTTTTCAGCTGCCTTTGTGATTACGATGTTTGTGTTATTAAACCGTGTGCTTGAGTTGTTTTGCCATATTGGGCCCAAAAACTTCCTCGTCTCTTCATGGAGGCTTTCGGCAGTCTTTTCATCGCCGTCTAGAAAGGATGGATAGTTATAGAGCCATTCATCATCCAGATCAATGATGCTGCTCTGATCGATGAAGCTATTGAACGGGACGCTCTTCTTCATAGCCGTAGTCTTGGGTCGCTTGGACTTGACGTTCAGATAGAGGCCTGCAGACATGTTTTGAGATTCACCGGCATCGGCGGCAGAAACTTGATTTGTAGGTGACCTGTGCTCCTGTCGCTTTGGCTGCTGTGTAATCATATCTGCGACTTCGTTGAAGGGATGATGAGGTGTCAATTGGAGCCTTTCGAGTCTAAGCGGCGACTCGGGATCTTTTTCGGTATTTTCTTTGTGTGCCGAGTCGATTTTTTGATGATGCGTGAGAAGAACGTAGGGTATTTCAAAACTTGCAAGGAAGTAGAAATCTCGGTCCTCTTCTCTGGCGAACAGCGCTGGCTCTTTCGTAGTTCCGTCCAGTTGCCCATAAAAGAGCCCGTTGGGGGTTGTGGATCGAAGTAAAACGCCGAAAGCAGATTTGACGAGGTCGTTCGGTGACCTTTTGTTCAGAGTCATTTCCCTAGCCCCCATCATGATTGCCAGCGCATATCTGATCGAGTTGTCCCATCCTGTTTCCGAATTCTCGCTATGATGGACCTGGGCCTCAATGGTGTTATCCCAAACCTCGTCAAAGAGTGTTTGCAAGAAGAAATTCCGCTTGATACCGTAGAATAGAGCAGTGTCGCTAGCATGGAGCAAAAAGCGCGTCTCGCGGGGAGATCGTGTCATTGCTAGCATTCGTTTCTTGGAGACGTCGTTCTCAACCGTGAACCGCCGCAGGATATCCCGCTGGACGACATCAGAGTCGAACTTCCTGAAAATCTTCTCATCATCATGGACATTTTGGTCTCGTTGACCTATGCCAAGAACTTTCTGATCCTTTATGTCACCCTCAGCCACATCGTCACGATCTATCTTTCCATCGTCCGGGTGGTCCTTCGTTTCGGAAGATCTTCGCCGGTCATCTTCAATTATTTTCAACGCCCTCCATATCCAAACATGTTCATTGAGTCTGTATTTGTTGTACCCTTCATCTTGTGCGTGAGGCCAGACATGGGAGGTACGCTTGTCGGACTTGTCAAGCGTATGGAGCCAGGCTTTAGCAACCCTGTGTATCACCCGTCGTGCAAGTTTCCGATCATCATTGCTGTTGTGGGTGTTCATGAACGCGGAAATCTTCAATAGGTGGAACGGTGTATCGGTGAAAGAGTCGCTTGGCAAAAACGAACCATCATTCGCGTCAACCATGACTTTACCTGTTGGCCAGTAATTTGCTGCAAAAACTCCCGCTTCCGTAAGACCAGCCTTCGAAAGCCACTTCAAGTGCCCGCGACAGACCAAGTCTATCCTTCGTTGCAACGACTTGTAAGGGTGTTCGGTACCAGCATGCTCAGTGTCACCCAGACGCTCTGCAATTTCAGACAGGAATGAGAACGCAAAGCTGACGAAGTTAGAGTGCACCTGACGCAGGCACGAGAAGAAAGGGATAGGAGTGGTTTCTATCTTACAAACTCGCTGATGAACACACCCTGTGCATTGACATATCGCCACATGTTAGAGCAACTGCCACTGTTCCTCCCTCGACAGAAGAATTCTCAACAGGAATGGCACATGCTGACAGAATGTGCTCTAAATTCCGGCGAACCACAAAGTCGATGTGATCCGTTGAGCTGTTGGTCGGCAGTCGATATGGTTGTGTATCCTTGGTCGATGACACAGATTGCGCCCATCGGATTCCGGATTTCTCGGGCTTCTCTTTCTTCTTGTCTTCGGCAGGCTTGGTGTATTTTGAGATGCGGAACTCCGTAAATTGGACTGACTTCAGATACTTGCCAACATCCGCTCGGACTGCTGGTATGAGGAACTCATCCCATGCAGCGTTAGACTTGGTCAAATGTACCATTGTGTAGGCGGTGACAACCTCAAGTGTGGCTTTACTCCCCAAAGATCTTGTCCAAAGGTCGATAGCCGTGCTATCCCTATGGCCCCAATGAACAGCTTTGCCATCTACAAAGACAGACACCACGACTGCAACAGCATTCAATGGCTTAAGCGACGGGAGCTGCTCATGTTTTGACACTTCCTTTGGATCTCTGACTGCTATCTCGATTTGGGTGGCGGCTGATGGTATTGGGGTTGGTTCTGCTTCGTTCTTCTTTTCTCCGTCCACTCCTTCATGCTGCAAATGTTGAACAAAAACCCACCCATAACCATTTGGGGCTTGCTTTTGAAATTGGACAGGCTGCTTTTCTGGATTGGGCCACTTGAGATAATCCAAGTCCCGGATACGCATAGCTTTGGCAAATCGGAAAGGAACTTCCACATCGTCCGCCCCATCATTCGTAATAAGGGATTGCTGCAGTACTGTTCTCTCGTGAACCATCCACTGCAAAGTGAGTTTAAGTTTGTCGTCTTCCATCTCATACCGAGGCCATCTGTCATGAACATAACCTAAGTTGCGGCACTGCTGAGGATTTATGCTAGGAAATCGCAGGCCGTATCCAACGCTTTCGCGCACTTGATCTCGCTGCATCTCAAGCAATTGTTCGGCTCTGCTTCGGACATAGAATGGCTCGTCTGTGTCGCTATGGTCTGCGGAAAATACACCGGACTGACCAACCCCCAAAAAGCTACTAAACTGCATCAAGTCACCGTAGGCATTGACGGTAGCTGTTACTCCATCGTCCCCAAAAGAAGCGTGGCACTCTGGGTTCGGCGGATCGGACCAATTGCTGATTTGATCATCTTTGAGTTGGAACGTTGCATCCTTCGCACCTGGCTCTCCGAAGTGGCCTGATTGACATTAGTCGACTAAACCGTTCAGTCGGATAGCAGAGTAACTCACGATGGATATGGCTCTGAAAAGCATCTCTGTCTTCTGCTGGAACATCTTCGTCCTTCCATAAGGGCTGCTGTTCCTCGCCCATCGCGTCCGGCGCAGGATCTAGCCGCTCGCTCTCGGCCTCCGACATGTCTGTCTGACGCAAAACAATTGCAATTCGTAGCCTGATCACTTTGTTGAGCGAATTTGCTTCGAGAGCCTGGGCGGGGCCAAGCCATAGTTATATGCACGTTGCCAAGCCTGGTCCATATCGAAGACAAGGGTGTGGAAGATATTTCCCAATGGAGTTCTTGAATCCTTGGTTCGGTGTATCTTTCGGGTTGCGCTCGCGAATATCAATCACGAGGCTATTTCCGCTCTGGGCTGCGGGCTGCTGACTGCATGTCGCTTGCGCCACTTGTCCGGGGGAAGTTGTGGACGACGGCAAGGCTGTGGGCAAGAGGGTGGCAGGTCTGGAGAGAGTAGGCTTCCTGTGCCTGGATTCCAAATCCCACAGCTTCTGGGCCAACTAAGTGGAATCCCGTCTGAACCCTGCAAGAGAAAAGGCATGGTGATTAGAGAAGAGGATCTGGTGGTTGTTGAGGGAGTCTCGTGTGGACCCTGGAAAGTCTACGGTAAATACATTGCCAGTTCCTCGAACGTTAAAATAAAAGGCTTCGAAAACGATCTAGTAGAGCGTGATATTATGTCACTTCTAATGCTGACGCTTTCTCCTGCCACCAAACAATGTCTTTGAGATAGCCTGGCCATTCTTCTTGCCATTCTGAATACCAGGCCGCTTTGATAGAACGAGGCTCTTTCTTCTTCGCACTTACTCTACTATCGAGGGCGAAGCTATACTATAAGTGTGCCTGGTTCTGACATAAGCGGCAACCACCTTCAGTGCCTTTCGCTACCCTTCTTGTTTATACAGGCAATTGCTATCACGATGTCAGGTCCAGTTCTGCCGCAAGAGACGCTGACGGTTACACAGGCAGTAATGATAGCCTGATAGCTTGTCATTTCGAGCGGTTGAACTCTTTGGCGGGGCAGAAAGACTCCATGAGCTGATTGGATCAAGTAAGCTACGTCTCATGTGCTTTATTGAGACCGTTCGTTGCAAAGGGACGCGGGCATGCCCGCAGCTTAGGCCATGACCTTTCTTGAGGAGTCAGAGATGATCCCCCACACAAATGTTTAATATGTGGAAAAAGCTACGTCGACGGCATGCCCAAAGGTGATCAGTAAGACACCATGGTTTCTTCACGTATTAATGGAAGGAGAAGCTGCCTTACTACATGTCGCGTGCCTCTTCATAAAAACACACTGTACTGAGGCTCATGAGTATGCGAGCATGAATCCAAAAACCAGTAAGTCTCTCTGTCTATCTTACAGCGGCGATACTCCTTTCTCAGCTGCTGCCAACATAGGAGTAATGATCGGCCGTCCTCGTCTACGCCTACACCCTGTGATATTGGCTCTAACCATCAGCTTCATCGCGCCAAGGAAGCAGATGAACCGATCAGGGCTATTTCCATCTCCTTATGGTTATATCTTTCAACGGTGCGGTGAAGCAACTGAGGGGAGTTGTGGTAAAGTTTGTGTACAAGTGAAACCTGCATCTAGATGTCTTACCGTTTACGGATATCAAACGAGATTGGGAAGAGTGCCTAGCAGGCAAGGAGGACCAATTAGTCCAGCAACACCACTACTCAAAGCCATACCATGTCGTAGCAGATCGCCATATTTTCCCAGCCTAACTTACACAACAGTTTGACGGGTTCCGCAGAGACCTAACCTTGACACGCATAGACGTTGACACTCGTAGACGCTCTGTCTGTCATACATCGCTTGAGCAGACGTAACTCTCCGGGGAGGACGTAAGGAATGTAATCTGGCAGATCACCAAAGATCAACACCATTCCACTCTCAAAACATCTCAACAACCCCACTCAAGCTAAAAAGACGCTAGAATCTTGTATCCCGATCTGGCATCATCAGAGTACGCGTCAAGGAGCGGGAGTAACAAGACACCTGCGCGGGGTGCCGTTGATCAACAGAGGGGAAGTGAGACAGCAAAGCCGGTCTCAGTTCTCCGGCAGCGGTGCGGCAACGGGCCGTGGTTAGTGCCCGCTCCCTGCCCCCCTCTCCGTTGACGTTGACAACTCTTGGCCTCCAATGTGTACATCTTGAGATCGAGGAGAGAAGGGGAGAGCGGTCTGGCTCGTCTATAAATGAGCCAGAAATCCTCAGATAGAAATGAATAGTACCAGGCTCTTCTTGACCATCAAGTTCCAGATCTCAACTTGAGAACCAACCAAAGACTTCTTCACTCTCACCGAAATTTGCAGCAAAACATCACTCATCATGCCAGGCCTCCCCACCGCCACTGACGAGGAAGTCGGCTTCCAGCCGATCCCGTCGAACCCCTACCTCAAGCAGCCGGGATCCGCCCCAGGCTCGATCTCCAGAGGCGGCAAGTCATCGTGGGGTTCCTTCATGCCGCCCAACACCTACGAGCCTATCGTAGATGAGGGGATTATCCACTTCAACCCCGTCATCATCCTCTTCATGTCCCTTGTCCCAAAGGACGACCTGACCAAGGCCGTTCAGTCGGCACTGGGAAAAATCCCAGAATTCATGGCGAAAATGGGCATCGAGGACGCAGACACATTCTACAAGTTTGCCAATGACATGCTCAAGTGGACTCCTACTGAGAATGTCCAGGCCAAGGATGTGTACGACATCCTGTGCCTGTTCTACTTCATCCTCGACCAGGAGCCGCTGCTGGGCAAGCAGACGCTCGTCCACCCGAGCTCGGTCGGGTTGCCCCTGACCCCGCTATCGAGCTGGATCGTGGTATTTGCGCAGCTCATCGGGCTCTTCATGGACACGCCCGCGTCCATCAACGAAAAGTCCTTCCAGACGTTTGTCGACTCGCCAAAGTACATGATCAAGGAGGAGGCTCTCGTCCCTGAGGGCGGCTTCCGTACCTTCAACGACTTCTTCTCCCGCCACCTCAAGCCGGGAGTGAGGCCCATCGCGGATAAGGATGATGACAGGGTCATTACGTACCCGGCGGACTGCACCTACGACAACTCGCTTTACAACCAGAGCATCGTCAACGTCCAGGACACGGGTATCATTGAGATCAAGGGCCTCCCATGGACCATCGGAGCCTTGCTCCAGGGCAGCGAGTATGCGGACTGTTTCCACGGAGGCGTCTGGATGCATGCCTTCCTGAACACGTTCAACTACCACCGACAGCACGCGCCCGTCTCCGGGACTGTTATCGAGGCCAAGAACATCCAGGGTGCGGCGTACCTCGAGGTGGACCAGCAGTGTCGTCCGATCCGCAAGCTCTTCGTGACGGCCGAGGACATTGAGAAGGACCCTAACTGCCGGCCTGAGGCGCCCGACTCCCCGGGGTACCAGTTCCTTCAGACAAGGGGCCTGGTAGTCATTGACAATCCTGTGCTCGGAAAGGTTGCCGTGCTGCCGATTGGCATGGCCATGGTCTCATCGGTCAAGCTGTCGGTCCGCGTGGGGCAGAAGCTGAAGAAGGGCGATGAGATCTCGACGTTCTTGTTTGGCGGGTCGGACATCATCTGCGTGTTTGAGCCGCGTGCCAAGTTGACGCCTGAGCACTTTGTGCCGTCGGCGAAAGACGACTACTCGAGGTATGGGAGTGTGTTGGCGAAGGCGCCTGGGCAGGGCTCGAATGGGACTTCGAATGGGTACCACTGATTGGGTCAGTTGAATGAGGTCCACGTCTGTACTCGTACGCCGTAGCCCCCGAGTGGTGATATCTGAAGTCTGAATTCTGAATTTTTGCTGACAGAGTGAATGACTCTTCCTTCCCATTCTGCATTCGCCGTGTTTCCGAAGTTGACTTTGCAAAACGACGGGGTTCTCAAAGTGTCCATCACTCCGAGACTGACACAAACATTGTTCGTGCCCAAGAGTGGATGTCTTTTCCTGGCAATCCGGCCCAGAGGCCTCCACAGCTCGAGGTGGCGGCCACGGCGAGCCTCATGATTTCAGAGTCGCGGTCTGTTCTTGAAACAAACTCAGCCCGGGGG